CGGGGGCGGTGCTGCGCCCGCCCGGCCCCCTTCTTCCCTCCCCGCCGCTCTCCGCACGCCCGGGCCGGGCGATTTGCTAACCCGGGTAAGGAGGCGGGGGGGCCGGCGGCCGCACCGGGCAATCCGCGGCGGGCGGGCGGGCAACGGGCAGCGGGGAGGGAGGAAGAGAGGCGGCGGCAGCAGCGCGGCTCCGGGCCCGGCAAGGTCGCCCCAAGGGCGTCCCGCCGTCCCCAGGGAAGGAGACCCGTCGCGGCCATGGCCACCTCCAAGCCCTTGTCCCGCTTCTGGGAGTGGGGCAGGAACATCGTCTGCGTGGGGCGCAACTACGCCGAGCACGCCAAGGAGATGGGGAGCGCGCTGCCCCGGGAGCCCCTCTTCTTCCTCAAGCCTTCCTCGGCCTACGTGCGCGAAGGGTCCCCCATCCTCCGGCCCTACTACTGCAACAACCTGCACCACGAAGTGGAGCTGGGGGTGGTGATCGGGAAGAGAGCCCAGGCCGTCTCCCAGGAGGCCGCCATGGAGCACGTGGCGGGTTATGCCCTCTGCTTGGACATGACGGCCAGGGACACCCAGGAGGAGTGCAAGAAGAAGGGCCTGCCCTGGACCTTGGCCAAGGGCTTCGGTTCGTCGTGTCCGGTCAGTGACTTTGTGCCCAAGGAGAAGATCCCAGACCCTCACAAGCTGAAGATCTGGCTCAAGGTGAACGGAAAGCTGAGGCAGGAGGGGGAGACCTCCTCGATGATCTTCTCCATCCCGTACCTGATCAGCTACATCAGTAAAATATTCACCCTGGAAGAAGGGGACTTGATTCTGACGGGGACTCCCGAAGGAGTTGGGTCTGTGCAGGCCAACGATGAGATAGAGGCTGGGATAAGTGACATCCTCTCCATGCGGTTTAAGGTGGCGCAGCAAACAGGAGGATCCTAACCAGGAGCTGGGCTGGGACCTTATCTGCGTCAGAAGAGGCTCTTTTGGGAACATCGGGTGAACGAAGAGACACACAAATTCTCCTGTACATTAAACACTTCCATGGCCCAAGTGTCTAACGAACATCATGCATCAAAGACATGTAACCTGTGGACTTGAAAAGCATTTGACTGAAACAGCCCCGTTTCCATGGAGGCTTCAGCCTCCTGGGAGGCCATGAACCTGGAGTCCAACCCACCTTGGGGCAGATGGTTAATACCCAAACCGTACCTTGGAACTGTGGATGGAGCTGGGAGCAGCAGGGGAGGGGAGCTGGGCTGGCTGCCACCACGTGTGCTCTTCTGTTCTGCTGATGCTTTGAGCTTTGCCCATGTATTGCCTTAAAATAAAAATCAAAAAATT